GGTGAAATAACTAACTCATTGAAGATTGAGAGAGACTTGGGCTTGAACTCGAAGTGTCCAGCTCAATTCCATATTTTTCTCAAAGATATTACGACTTTCTTATGAGACCTAGGATAATATTCAACGAGAGTTCTATTAGAGACAAGACAACCTAACAAAAAGGTACGATATTGCAGCACACATTTAATGTCCCATGTCCAGGTCTTTCGCTACATTTCCAACAGCTTTACCCCCCTCACTTGACCAATAAATTGTCGATGGGAGCGACAAATATAAGTCAAATACTTTTTGCTTCTTGGTCGCTCTGAAAACAACTCGAGTAAATATTTATTTGATTGCATTCTCAATTTGAGCTGAAACACACTCCCTATGCACATATAGAGACGTCTATATATGCGTATGTGTATAAATATGTATATATCTAACATTTGATATTGTCTTGAGCAATTTCTTTTAATTTCTTCAGCACGATTGCGTAGTTAAGTTTTCGAATTCTCATTAGACTAAGTTGCCAGCCCACAGACACACACACACACACACACGCACGCACGCACACAGAGACACACATACAGAGAGCTATCTGAAGAGCTAGACCGACTCTGACAGACATCAGGGCTGCACCGCAATTCCCCTCCGTCCCACCCCCTTGGGCTGCTCTCAAAAGCAGTCAACCCCCGAAAATCCCCCAGCTCAGCCCCCCTGCCAATACCGTAACCACAAAAACTTTGCAGCTTTCCCAAGACTGAGATGGCAATACGTAGCCTGAGCTTGAGACAAAAACTAATGCATATGTTTAGGCATTTTAATTTATATACGACAACCCACACACACACACACACACACACACACACGCACATACACACACATAGGCAGACACTCAGACTGGCAGACAACTTTTAAGAAAGCTCACACATGCACACGAACTAACCCCAGCCCCTGGCAGCGTGCTCTGCCTCTCTCACCCCCGCCCTTCGGCTGGCTGCTGCCGGCGTCGTTGATAAAAGCAACTTCCATTTCATTTAAACTACAATTTTCTTGACAGCGCACAGAGGCAGCCGCCTCAGCATCAGTTGCGTATGGTTGGGGGCTGGATGGTTAGTTGGTTAGGGGCTGGGTTAGTACGTTTTGGGCTAGGGGTTGGCAACCCTTTCACGCACTTATGAGTTAAACGCAAATTTTCTTAGCTGCCTTTTAGGCGCTGAGTCTCTGAGTCTGCACAAATATGTCATCGGCAGTTGGCAGGCACAAGCACTACACACACACGCACACTCATTCCCTCTCTATCTTTCATTCTCTCTCCCTCTCTCTCTCTCACACACACACGTCGTTTGGTAATTCATTATGCGTGTGCTTAGAGGCTTTTGCAGCATTGTAGTTGTAGCTGGAGTAGTTTGCCTGCTTTTAGGCGCAGCAGACAACAATAACAAACATATACGCCCAAAAATTGAAACCTTTTACCGCCATCTCTGCAGCCCCTCCCCCGCACCCGGCTGGCCTTGCCTTACATTGAACTTGTATTTCCCAGCGAACGTTTCCAATTCAAGTCTTTGGCTTTCCTTGCAAGATGCCACACAGCCGGCATATTTCACTTATTAGGTATGACAAGCAGCTACACTGGGCTATGTGTGTGTGTGTTTGTGTGTGTGGAGGTCAAAAGCGACTACGTTGCGACGCTCGTAGCTCTATGCGAAATAAATGCTCGGATTTATGTCTAACTCTCTAACTCTCTGTGTGTGTGTGTGTGTGTGTGTTTGTGTCTGTGTGTGTGCCTTGCAGGTGTTACCCATACGCCTAGTGGGTTGACAGCACACAACAAATTGCTTAGCACATCGCGTCGCCTGCCCGCCCACCCGAACCTATCCCCTCGCTGTCAAAGTCAAGGTTGCCCTAGGAGCAGCTCAGCAGCTTAAGTCAATGCCAGCCTCCAAAGTTGAGCCGAACTCCTAAGCCGAAAACTTGTACATAGCCCAGGCACACGCAGCTCCTTCTCTCACTCTCTATATACGTATATTTCTTTAGATATATATGTATACAGTTGTCTGTATATATTGACTTGGTCCAAGCTGTGCGCCTGTGAAGACTCCCGGCGGAGTTGCTCAACTTCACAAAAATGTCAGTCGTTTGGTTCCTCCGTCCTCTCTCTCTTTCTTTCTCTGCAGTTGTCCAGCCAGCTCTCGTCCGTTGGCTGTGTCCTGGACGCAGCCTTCACAGCAGCACCCCCAGCCCCCATCCCATTCCCATTTTAACTCCCCAGTTGCTTTTCTTGTACCGTTTTAATTAATGGAAAATTTGTACGTTTTCTTCTTATTCATGTGGTCGTTTCTTCAATGCCTCAAGCAAAGGGTAACTTGAACTAAAAGAAATTGCCAGCTAGCATTGAATACGTAGCTTAACCTAAACTCCCACAAAAAAAGAAAATCCCTAACACTCGCTCCCTTCATTCACCCCATCCTCCCTGCTGCCCTTTGCAGTGCCAGCCCAAGTCCAAGTCCAAATCCAACTATTTTGGCCTCTCATGTTGCGCATCTTCGACTCCTCTGTTGGCTATTTTCGTTTGACAGTGGACAAGATCCGAATTGCCATTTGGTTTCCTTTTGGTTTGATTAGAAAATCGACTTGGGAGTTGTTGCTTTAAGTAAGTTGCATCACTTTTTATTAGGTAACAGCTGCGTTTTTTTTTTCTTATGGAAGGAAGGAAGTCGTTGGCTTCATTAACTCCAAAGAAAAGACGAGAAAGAAAATGAAATGAATTCTAGTGGAAAATAATATTGAAATCCTTAGTTAAGAGTTGCGTAAGGAATTCTTTGCAAATACAATCCAATTATGTATTTATGTATCAGAGGGAGAGGTATTGTATATACCCAAGCTAGTTTTTTAATGACTTAAGTAATTCCTCGACGAATATCCAATTACCTAATTTGCACTTGTTTTAGCATCTCTGATCGGTGGTTTATCTAAAATCAGCAGATATACTTTTCTTACAAAATTTCTGTCCAACAAAAAGGATTCAGTGTAATCCAAACTGTATCCTTCAGGTTGCTCACAGCAAATGCTTGTTTCCTGAGCATTGAGCACTTCTCGCACACCTGAACAGCGAGCATAGAAGAGCGACTTAGGGACAGCCATCACAACTCCAACTGCTGCCCTTTATTAGTTATTTCATGTGATATCAATTGACTTCAACAATACACTTAAATATTCTGAGTTTATTTTAAACAAGTTTCCTGGCTCATAGTTTAAATGTGCTAACAAACCGATGCTATAGTGCCTTAGACCCAATGTAGAATAATTTGTAATAATTTAAAATATCAAATTGGCTGACCTAATAGTAATAGTTAAGTGTTTCAACCGAAAAAAAACTCATGCGCATTCGCTCTCGTCTTGAGCAAGGGTCTTCGGCTCTCTTAGTTTTTGATCACCTCGAATTGACCCATTCTCTTTTCGCTCTTTTCCCGAACATAATTCAGGGAGCGAGCCGATTGACGCTTGCACAATGAGACTCAGTGAGACTCGATGCACACACTCAATACACGTATGCAATTGATGTGTTTAACGACTCTCACTTACATTACAATACATACACAAAATACTTTTGGCTTCATTTAACTCAACCAGTCAGAATTAAATAATGCCTCCGATCATGAACGAACTCGTTACAAAGCCGATGCAATCGATTGCTCTCAGAAATTGTTTCTTAGTGTGTGAATAAAATACCATATTTGCAGATATCGAGAAACGATCAATGGTTATTTAAGAACTATGTTAAATGAACTCATAGTTATATTTGTGTTCAGACTTTATCTAAATAAAGCTTTAGTGCCTTAGACCCAAATCTAAATAAAACTTTATGCAGCAACTCAAATGATCAACTGAGGTGATCAATAATGTTTCTCTAAATCTAAGAGAAAAATATTAAAAGCTAATGTTCTTGGTCTATAGATAAAGCCATAACTTACATTGCTTTCTTTTGATATTCTAATTTTAATTTGTGAAATATAATTTAGTTTTTCTTTAAAGGAAATTCCTCAGCTTAGACTTTCTATGCCTTAGCTGTTGTTTGGCCTCACCTTCCATGTTTTCCATGCCCCCACAGAACCACTCTCAGCAAATAGGCAAAAAAAATAAAATAAAAAAAAAATAAAATAAAAATAAGCTAATGCACACACATTTTGGTGTCAGCATAATCAGACTCTTTGACTTTGCTGGGATGCCTTGCTCCGACTGAATGTTAATTAGGAGCCATGTTCAAACTTCATTTTCATTTGGACTGCTGCTCTACCTCACTTTTTTTCCTGCTTCAACTTCATTTGTATTGGCAGCTGAACCCCCAACGAGGCAGCATCCAGCATCGAGCAGCGGACATGCGGGCAACCACTGTCCTGCAACCGCAACCCAAGGCACATAAAGAATGAACGAGAGAGTGGGTGTAAGAGAGGGTGGGAGGGTGAGAGCTGAGACGGAGCCAACGTCTTGGAGTCGATCGAAATGTTTCATTAGAGCCATGTTGGCCACAAATAGCAGAGACTTCGAACGTACCCCAAAAACTTGCCGTTATACCTTACCCACTCCCCCCTGCCCTGTCCTAACCCTCTCGCAAATCCTGGCAACTAATTTGCAGCACAGCATAAAAGGCAACAAAAAAAGGGAAAAGAAGAAAACATCAATCCGTCGGATAAAAAAGAAACCCCGACTCGACTTTCATCTTGGGCAAGAAAAACTTTGCTGCGAGTGCGGAGCGCAAGGGACAAGGGGGTGGAAGGCGAAGTCGAGGGGGGAGGGACGCTTCTTTGACGCTTTTTGCGCATACTTTTGAATGGTCTAACGAGCTCTGGGGTCTGACGACTGGAGCAGCCTCGACTAATCATTGGGATTTTGGTATATCGAACGCTGTCCCAAAAAACTTTGTTGTGCGGTCATTGAAAGTTCTCCAAAATTGAACTTGTGCTCAGCTCAGTCCGACATTCCTTAACCAGAACCCAAACTCTGCTCTTATTCTATAGGAAACCATACCAGCAGCACCGGCCACAAGCACCGACACCAGCAGCCTGGTTGGTGTAGGAGGCGGCGGCGGCGGCGGCGTCGGCGGCGGTGGCGTTGGAAGTGGTGCTGGTGGTGCCGGCAGCGGACTGGTTGATATTGCCAACAGTTTAAGCGGTGGCGGCAGCGGCGGCGGCGGCGGGGGAGGTGGCATAACCAACGAGTCGGAGGCCTACGCGGGCCTCATGAAGGATGCGGACAAACTGAAACTAATGCTGCTCGCCTGGAACTACCAGAACTCGACGGCTGTGCGCAACGGCACCGAGGGACCCGACCTCAGCGTTGTGGGCGGCCTTTGGGCGCAATATCAGAATGCTTTGGCCCAGAATGCGGCGGCGGTTGCAGCGGCCAACAGTAAAATGGACAGCTCGCTGTCGCCGGTGCCCAGGCAGGATGCGCCGTCGCCCATGGAGGCGCAGGACGAGACGAACTCGTCCGGCCAGAAGGAGGAGGATGAGGTTTCCGAGGATGACTCTGATGACAAGCTGGACGAGAAGCTGGCCACTCCACACGATCCAGAGCGGCTCAAGGCCTTCAATGTGAGTAATGTGCGAGAGTAAGAGGGAGAGAGAGCGAGAGAGGGGGAGGAGAGAGCGCGTCTCGTCTCTCTCTCTCATGTCGAATGTAAAGCGAACGTTGCCAATGCTGCCACTTGAAATGGCCAGAGAACCACTCGAATTTCGTAAACAATACTCATGCCTTCTCCACTTGCCTTGCAGATGTTCGTGCGTTTGTTCGTGGACGAGAATCTGGATCGCATCATACCCATCTCGAAGCAGCCAAAGGAAAAGATTCAAGCCATCATCGATTCGTGCGCTCGACAATTTCCCGAGTTCAGCGATCGCTCCCGCAAACGCATTCGCACCTATCTCAAGTCCTGTCGCCGCAACAAGAAGACACGAGACGGCTGGGAGAATACGGTAAGTGGAAAGAGTTCATAAAATAAGAGATGATGGATTTCCAATGGAATACCAAGCGCATATAGCACAACCATTGATGCTAAGTCATCATTCGGAGAGAGATCTAGGAGATTTATATAGATACTAGTTGTCCCGGTGAACTTCGTACCGCGTAACAGTCTCTATATATATAAAACAAAGTCGAGTTTGTTACAAAACTTATAATTCGAGATCTGCTGCCTCAAGAGCCTACGGTGATCTCAATTCCAAGTTTCAAATAATTTGAAACCGACTGATTTTTATATTAGGCGGTATTATATTTTTTAATGTTATATTTAGTAATTTTGTTATACTTTTATTTATTGATTATATATTTAGATTTACATTACAGATTACATTTACACAGAAATTATCGAGAATTTTCGATATATATATATATATATATATATATATATATATATATATATATATATATATATATATATATATGAAAACGGAAATTACTTCGAGGTCTTTTTAGTTACTTTTCCTCTCCTAGCTGCAGATTGGCTTGATTTACTCTCTGCACTCCAATATTATGATAGCTAACGAGAATTGACATGCTAGAGCTCATGGGTTGTAAGATTCGACTCAACAGATTTGGGGACCGAATTCCGATTCAAAGATTACAAGAGAAAAACTAAGGCTTCTCATTGTTTATTCAGAGCAATATATAAAATTTATAGAATTCATATTTATAAATAACATATTTAATTTTTTTTTTTTTTTTTTTTGTTGCAGACTCGACCGACGCCCGCTCACCTGACCTCCGTGCAGGCGGAGCAAATCCTGGCCATCGCCTGTGAGAACGAGTCGATGAACGCGAAGCGTATGCGCATTGGCCTGGAGCCCATCACCCACGCGGTGCCGGCGCCGGGCAGCGTTGTGGCCGCCGCAGCGGCTGCCGCAGCGGTGGCCGGCACCAGCACCACATCCGCAAGCAATGCGGCGACCGTCACCTGCACCGCAGCCGACGCGGCTGGGCTGAGCAGCGTGGCCGCCGCAGCGCTGCCATTTGTGAGCGCCGTCGGCTTTGCACGCTCCACGCCCAACTCGGAGCATGCGGACGGCGCGTTCGGCGGTGCAGCGAACATTGCGGGCGCGGGCAGTGCAGGCGGCAACAGCACCAGCGGTGCAGCTGGCGGCGGCACAGGTGGCATGAGCTCTGCGCGCAGCTCTCCGCTGGCATTGAGCTCGAATGCGAGCGTCGGCAGCGCCACTGTAACGGGCCTAGCGCTAGCCAACGGCGGCGCCGGAGCATCCAATGGCGCCGGCCTGCCCTCCAGCAGCCCCTATACCACGGACTTCAGCTCGCCCTCGGCGGCCTCGCCCTTCGTGGCAGCCGCAGCCGCCGCGGCCGTTGCAGCCGGCCGTGCGCCCAGCTATCCTGGCTACTTTCCGGGCGTCGCCAGCCTGGGTAATGGTAAGTAAACATCTACAAGCGCTGCGCTTAAATGCTGGCTCCATTGATTAAATGAGATGAGCTTGTTGAGTCTATTAATTAATATTGTTGTAAATGAGATGGAAGTGAAAGTGAAAGTGGAAGTTGAAAAGAGTACAAAGAGCAGAATAAAACCAAATGAAGTTTTAGCTTTAAAAAGCTATATGAATAATTGCAAATCTATAAGTATAGATTCAAAAGTTCTTGAAGTCAGTTTTCCTAATATTAAATATCTAAAATTCTTTATCCAATTTGGTCTAACAAAAATTTAAACTTATTTTCTGTTCTTCTTGCAGTCACGCCCACCGATCTCTCCATGAAGCCAACGACGCTGGGCGCTGGCAGCGGCCTTGCCAGCAGCATCAACAGCAGCAGCAACAACAACAACAACATCAACATCAACAGCAACACAGTCAGCGCACAGCTAAGTGCCGCCAATCTGGCCACACTGAGCAACGCCAGCAACAACAATGCCCTGGTCACAGCCACACAGCAGCTGCAACAGTTGCAGCAGCAGCAGCAGCAACAGCAACAACAGCAGCAGCAACAACAGCAACAGCAGCAGCAACAACAGCAGCAGCAGCAACAGCAGCAACAACAACAGCAGCAGCAACAATTGCTGGCCGCATCCGGCGACGCCAATTGCTCGCGTGTGGCGCCCATCCTCCCACACAAGCTGAGCCCCAACGAGGTGACCGCCGCTCGCCAGGTGATCTCGGCGTACAGGGAGAGCGCCGCCTTCCTGCTGCGCACCGCCGACCAGGTCGAGCAGCTGCTCGTGCAGCAGCAGTAGGCGTGGCAGCAGGCAGCCTGGTAAGCGCCGCTCACATTGCTATTCGGTGGTGGTTAGTGGTGAGGGTGGTGCAGGTGGGGCAGGTGGATGACGCTAGCCTTGGTGGGTCACTTTCCAGATTCAAGCGACGCTTAGCGCGCGTTTGGATTGTTCCTATATAAATTTAAATTTTAATTAAATTACACAGCAACAACAAAAGCAACAACAACAACACACAGCAACTAAGCAAACTAGCAAGCAAAAACAAAAACAAATAGTCAAAGCATAGATGCAAAAAACATATAACGAAACAAAACAAAAATAAAACCAAAAGAAAAACCATAAAAAAAGAAACAGAAAATAGTCAAAAAGTTCGTTTTTAACCAAAATTTTAAGTGTTTTTTCCTCCAAACTACGTACAGCATATTACAAAATAGAATTAACGGTAAACAAAACAAAAATATCCAACAGCAAATACCGAAAAAATAAACAATAATTACGAATCAGTATATATTGCAATTTATCAAATCAGCAAATTTAATTGTTTAATTGTTTTCTAGTTCAAAAGCTCGTAGATAATACTAAATAATTTCCACAAACTTTTAGCTTAGAAGTAAATTTTAAAAATATATATACATTTTTAAATATATTTTAACATTTTGAACAAATGGAAAATATTTGTTTTTCAAGATTTACGAGTGCTTGAACTAGAAAAGAATTCAAGCTCTTAAAACACAAAAGAAATAAAAATAATTAAGAAATCAGCAACAGATTAACTAACTACAGTGTCTACTAAAAGTAAAACTACAATAGCCACGCCCAAAGCAAACTCACACCCACACACACAAAGTTTTTGTTGAGATTTTAGAAAATTAAAAATTATGAAAAAAATAAAATAAAAACCATTTTTGATGCTCTACCTAGAGCGAAAATTTCCGGCCCAGTTTAATGTGCGCGATTTGTTAAAAAATAAATATAAAAATACAAAAAAAAAAAAAAAAAAAAATTAAATAAATAAATAAAATATTTTATTGTATGTAATTAAGTTGAAGAATTGTTGTAAATTTTAAGGCGTATCAGCAAAGAAGGAGAGAGTAAAAAAAAACACGTTTTAAGGCAACAAACCACGAAAAATATGATTATTTAAAATATATGAAAACTATGAGAAAACACAGGGTGATACTTTCAGAAATTAATACAAAAACAAAAGAAAACAAAAAACAAAACAAGATAAACACTAAGCTAAAAATTAAAATGTGTAAAAATATAAGGCAAGCGGCATGGCGTAGACGTTGGTATATGTGTATTTAAAAAAAAAAACTAAGATAAAAAATTAAAAAAAAAAAAACATATTTATATATAAAATTAATTTTTAGCATTTAGTTTTTTATGTTTTGAATTTTAGTTCTTGAATGAAAACTCTAATTTTACATTGCTGTTGACTTCTTGATTACTTTTATACTTAATTCATTAATTGATAAAAGAATTAATTTATTTTTTAATATGCATATGAAATACGAGAATAAAATATTTAAATACAAAATAGCCATTAATGTTTTTTGCAACTATAAATGTGCATGTAAAAATCACAATATAAATAAACAACAACACAAAAATCAACTCAAAATTAAATAAAAAGAAAAGAATCCGGAAAAATTAAGATCCAGATGCAAAGCAAATTATAGAATTTAATAATATAAATCAAATACAAACAAAAAGAAGGGAAAAGCAAAGAAAAGGTATTTAATCAGCAAATAAATTAATATTAATTATGTGAAACGAAGGGAATTCAGTTCAGAAAAAAAGAATATGAACGATAATTATAATGAAAGAATAACGAAAATTTATTAATTATAATAATTATAATAATAATGGATTGGTATTTGCATAGTCAAGTAAACTAAACTAATTAAAAAAAGTCCGAAAGAAAAACAAAAACCAAACCATTTTAAAAGTCGACTTAATAAAGAATTTATGAGAATTATATGTATATTAAAAAAAACAAAAAACACTTGTTGATATTTATTTAATATTTCTGTAGACAGTTTCAGTAACCATCAAACTGTGCAACTTAGCAGTGACGCTTACCTTTAGTACAATTTTCCTCAAACTATTTGTAGCTACACTTTGCGCAGTGGCTCTCAAACTGTGTTTTTAGCTTACTTCAGTTGCTCGACATGTGTTCTACTTTGCTTACCTTTCAACAGTCGCTCTCTAACTACGCTGAACATGTTTCAGTTGCTCTTAAACTTTACCAGACATTAGTTGTAGCTAAACTTTAAGCAGTCGCTCTATAACTGCATTTAGCATGTTACAATTGCTCTCAACCAACGAGAAACCCCTTCAGTAGCTCTTTGACTGTAACTTTGTTCAGTTAGAACAAAACTGTATAAATGCGTCTGACCCAAACCTACTCAATATGTATTTCGTATGCACATACTCAGCATGCAGTGACACCACAACTGCATAATTGCTTTCATTGCAATCATTCAAACATCTATATATATATATATATATATATATATTTTATATTTATTTTTATTTATTATCATTTAAAACATATAACGCTTTGCATCGTCTTAATTAGATTTCTTAATTGTAAATAATTTTAGCTTGGATTTCACGACCAAACAATAAATTAGATATGTATATAAAAACTGCCTTAAATTTAACCCATTTGCTGTCCTTTTTTTTTTTTCTTGTCGCATTTTCTAACAAAACAATATCTTTTGTACACTCATCTTTCGAAAATCTGTTCGGGTTTTCTCTTTCACTTAGATTAAACTATTTCTATTTTTAATGACTGTTTACGAAAGCGAAAGAAAAAACATTACAGAAAATACATTAATGGAAGCACCGAAACTTTTTGTTCTCTGCTTAATATTTCGTTGTTTTTGTTGTTGTTGTTGTTGCACCAATTCTGTAGAAGAACGCGATATTTGTGGCAAGATTTCACTAACAATTTGCTGCTGATACGTATTTCAACTATAAAGAAATTTACCCCCCGAAAAGTTTGGTCGACGCAACCAAAGAAGCAAAAAAATACGCCAAATAAAACTTAATCGACTAAGAGCTGCAACAGTTTAACCAATGCCCGCTGTCAAAGCGCGGCCGTAGTCGCAGGTCCGGGCTGCTCTACGCCAGCACACCGTCCAGTGCGTGAATGACACCGTTTGTGGCGGGAATGTTGGAGGTGACCATCTGGGCATCGTTCACCTTGATCTTGCCAGCCGAGGTCTTCTGCAGCACGACCGTCTTGCCCGTGTACAGCGAGTCCTTCACCTGATAGAACCGCATGCCGGCCGAGTACAGTGCCCCGGGCACAATGTGCTTCATGGCGAACTGTTCGGCTGCCTCCTTGTCGGTGAAGAGCTTCTCCAGCGTATCCGAGTCCAGATCGTTAAAGCTCTTGTCCACCGGTGCGAAGACTGTGTACGTCTTGACACCTGAAATGAAAGTTGGTTTAGTTTTCATTACGCTCAACATATCATCAACAACATTGCTTACCCTTGCCTTGCAACTTCTCGGACATGCCCGAGGTGTACAGTATCTTTAGGAAGTTGGAGAAGCGACCCTCGCGATCTGATTGTAGGGTCTGCAGCAAATCGCCCACTGGCAGCGGGAACATAACACGATCCACCGCATGCGCCACGCCCTGCGGTATCTTAATGTCCTTCTTGTTCAGCACAACCATTGCTCCATTAATGGTGGTGAGCTGTAATTGCGTGTGGAGATGTATGTGAGTTCAGTTTGATTGAAGTAGATTGATAGTGAGTGAAAAATTCGTATTACATTGAAGTTTATGCTAGGTATAGCCATTTGGCTAAGGGAATTGTAAAGCGAAGTCGGTTGTCTTACTATAAACAATATCGACTGTCCCAGTAAAGCTCTCGGAGCTGCAGATATAACATCAATCAGACAACTAGGCAGTCAATCAATCATTCAGCTTTTATCGACAGCTAGCTGGGAGGCTGTCTCTTTACATATCGGTCAGTCAGTCAGTCAGACAGTTACTCAATCATTCAGTAGACAATTAGTCAAATTTCAATGTCTATTACTCTTCTAGTCCGCTTGTCTTGATATATGTCAATCAGTTAGCTAAGCTATCTGTACCTTTATATACTAGTCGTCAATCAGTTAGTCAATCACTCCGTAAGATTATCAATTAGCTTGTCTGACAGATTTACTATATGATTATATTGACTGACTGACATGGAAAGAGACGTCTGGCTGTCTCAATATGATCAATCAATCAGTCATATAGTAAGTCTGTTAGTCAAGTTGCCATTGTCTCTATTACTTTGCTAGTCTGCCTCTCCCTTTATACATCAGTCAGTCAGTCAGTCAGTGAATTATTTAGTTAGTCCATCAATCAGTTAGCACGTCTGCCTAGCTGCCCAGTCAGTCAATCATTTTGCACAGCTATTGTAATAGAATCGCCTAGCTCTTACAGCTTTATCTAGTAATTAACCATCAGTCAATCTGACCGTCAATCCTACAGTCAGTCAATAAGTTCGTCTGCTGCACTGACTGACTCTTGCAACTCTTTCTCTCCCACTGAGACGTGCTCTCAATCCCAGTGATGGCCGATTCAATCGACTCAATCAGACAAGCCCAACTGTGTGCTCTTCCCACTCAATGCCCCAGTCTGCCGTTCTCTCAATCCTTTAGTCCCAATGATTGTCTATTTTCGATGTTTGTCAGTTCCACTCGGTGCATTCATTCACAAATTCAGTATCCAAATTTGGGCTTACAGTGACATCGTTCCACTCCTGATCGTGCATGTTATACTGATTGACGCGCAGCTGTGTGCCCGCCAAGGACACGCCGGTCATCTCGTCCTGCAACGTGGCAATCTCAAAGGCGCCAGGAATGACATGATGCAACAGCAGCTGGAAAATAGAAATCCATGTGAGTACACAGAGAGTCAACACTATGAGGCGCCACTTACACCACTCAACAGTCGAGGATTCGATTGGAACTTCTCCTCGGCGCGCTCGGGTCCACCGAGCTGGACAAGCAGGTTCTTGAAGGCCTTGTCGGTGGGCACGAAGATCGTGTAGGGACCCGTTTCGTTGAGTATGCTGTCCAGGCCACTCTGACGCAGATACTTGGCCATGGCGAAGAGTCCATTGCTCTTGAGTATCTGAAGCAGATCCTCACTGGGATTCGAGAGCACCGATGCACCGCCCGTGGAGGCCGCCTTCTCTGTGTTCTCCGTCTCCTGCACCAGGGCATCGGCGTATTGTGCCGGCGTCTGTTGCTCCGGCGTCTGCGCGATGTCCGACAGACGCTCAGTTACCACTGGCAGATGAGTGGAGGCGCCGCCCGGGTAGGGCGACTGCGTGACAGGTGAAGAGTGATAAATGGGTCCGGGTGTGGTGCGGATCAAGCTGGCGGCGGCGGCAGCAGCGCTGGCTGTGCTGCTGCTCTCGTAGACGCCCGTGTAGCGGGGCGTATAGGGCGTGCTGGTGGTGCTAGTGGTGCTGATGGGCGGGCTGCTGGTGGTGGTGCTGGTGCTGGTGGTGGATGTGCGCGATGGGTGATACTGGCGGTGGTTGCTGGGCGCGTTCCTCGAGACGAACGGCGCTGGCGTAGTGGAGGTCGTCGTATATATTCTGGCAGTGGTTGTGGTCGGTGGTGGGCGAGTGGTTGTCGTGGTGGTCGTCTGTATTATCTTGCCGCTCTTGATCTCCACAACCTCATCGTTGGGCAGTGTCAAGCGATAGACGGACGGAGGCAGCTTGATCTCTCCGCTGCGGATGCGCTCCAGAATGCTCTCGACCTCGGCGCCCGTTTGCTTCGTCTCCTTCTCGCCGTTGGCCTTGACGCCCTGGATCTTGAAGCTGCCGTCGGCCTGCTCCTCCAGGTACACGTATGTCGCCTTCTTCTTGGGCGGTGCGGTGGGCGGTGCTGGCGTGGCCTTGGCGGAGTCCGAGCTCAAGCCCTCGATCTCGTAGCCATCGGGTATGAGACCACGCTTCGCCAGCTCCTCCAGGGTGGGCGGGCTGTCCGAGTCGGAGGTAATGACCGCCGAGCTGGCAATGCTGTTGGCGCCATTCGTCACGCCCTGGATATCGCCCGCTCCGCCGCCGTACAAGGCAGCCAGGCTGGACAGGTCGACGCCGCCGGGCAGTGCCTGGGCGGGCAGCGTGTCCGACTCCTGCGGATCGGGTGAGCGTAGTATTTGCACCTTGCCACCGCCGGGCAGCACCAGATCCTTGCTCTTGCTAGGCGCCACATCGCTCAGGCTGAGCTTCGCCTCCGAGCCGAGCGCCTGCTGGGCCAGCAGCGCCTGCAGCTGGTCCTGCGAATAGGCCTGTTGTCCCTGCACAAGATTCGGGTCTGTGGTGCGGATGACCTGCACACGCTGTCCATTGGGCAGCACCAGGTCCATCTCATCGTAGGTCTTGTTGCCGGTCAGCGGCTGCTGTGGCGCCTCCGACAAGGCAGCCTTCAGCTGCTTCAGCAGATCCTCCCGGGCAATCGTCTTCACGGGCTTCTTGCTGCCCAGCTTCGTGGTGCCGTATTTGCCCAGCTCCGCCTTCACCTGGGAGTAGATGTTCTTCTTGGGCGTGGTGCTAGCCTCTGTGGTGGTGGTGGTCGTCGTGGTTGTGGTGGTGGTCGTCGGATGCTCCTTGTAGTACTGCTGCAGAGCGCTGTTGAACTGGCTGTACTCCGTGGGATGGGCAACGGGTCGGCCACGCGGCGGCTGTACGTACTGCGGCTGCGGCGGATAGTTGTTGTGCTGGCTGATGATGGTGGGCAGCACATGCTGCTTGATGGCGTGCTGCTTCGCAAGGAACTCCTCGTGCTGCTGGCGCACCTTGTGCTGCGACTTCTCGTACTGCTTGGCCACGAATTGCTCGTGCTTCTGTATCAGCTTCTGCTTGTATTCCAGATCGGCGGGCTGGGCCTGCGGTCCGTTGCTGATGAACTGATGTTGTTGCGGGGGGAATAGCTGCTGCTGCTGCTGCTGTTGTTGTTGTTGTTGTTGTTGCAGATAAGTCTCTCGCGAGGGCTGAGCGGGAAAAGCTGTCGAAGGCAGATTGTTAAAGATTTGCGGCAGGGGTAATCCCAGCTGTGGTGTCAATGGATATTGCTGCTGCTGCTGCTGTTGCTGTGGTTGCTGCAGCAATTGCTGCTGTGGCTGTTGCTGTTGCTGATAGTTCAGTGGCGATTGCTGCAGTGTCTGGAAGGTGGGCACGGGCGCCTGACTGGGCAGCTTCTGTGTGGTCTGTTGGCCAAGTTGTTGGGGTTGCTGGTAAGCGAATTGCTGCTGTGCCAATGCCTGCTGCTGCTGCTGCTGCTGCTGCTGCTGCTGCTGATAAGCCTGCGCTGGAAACGCTGTCGATTGGAGTCGTGCATCGGGGAATTGCTTGTGGCGCTGGGGCTGCTGCTGCTGCTGTTGTTGCTGCTGCTGCTGCGAGCTAGCATAGTTGCGTAAATCCAAAAAGTTCTGATGGTGCAGGTCAAGATTGCTGGCAGTTGAGGGCAACTGTTGCTGCTGTGGTGCTTGTGGATATTGTGGGGCTGTTTGCAGTTGATTTTGTGTGGAGCGCTGGAACTGCTGATTAATGGGAGGACTTTGCTGCTGCTGCTGCTGCTGCTGCTGATGTTGGTGTGGCACTTGTTGCTGCGGCTGCTGCTGTTGCGGGTATTGCTGCGAGAAGCGATGCTGCTGTTGGTGGTGCTGCGGCTGCTGCTGGTGGTGATGATGGTGGTGCTGATGTTGCTGGCGGTGCTGATGCTGCGGCGGTATGGGCAGCTCCACGCCAGCTTGCAAAAAGTTCTGTTGATTAAATTGCGGCAGATTCAGCTGACGGCGATTGCCATTGTGAAAGGGATGCGGATGCAGATGTGGCGGCTACAAGAAAAGACAATGATTCCATTAGCCAAGTAATCAGAAATAGGAGCTTAACAATATAGAGAGCTTAACCATGTATGCGTCACATATTTTCCATAGGAGTAGCTGATGAAATTTAATTTACATCAAATGAACTGCAACAGCAGACATTGACAACTCTTCACATGACTTAATAGGGGAATGACCATATCTGCAGCAGCTGGATTATATTGTGGATCGTTACATAATTTGCTATTGACACTAATTCACAAAACAAAAACCAGATTTAATGCCAGCGAAATTGAAAACTGGTAGCAGAAAATTATTCATTAACTGATCAAAAGTGGGCTGGTTCCCCTTTTCGAACGGCCGCCACATCGCTCATATGAACCAGTTTTGTTGTTTGTTGGCCAATGCCTGCTCCATATTTGATAGCTACAACAACACTAGTGCGTCTACTGTGGGTCCTTACAAAAGTCGAGCAAAAGTGAGTGAAGAGAAAAAACTAGTCAAAGTCATGAACTTGCTCGCATTATGAATGTGATGTTAAACCGGATTACAGCAAAAGCGAAGCGAAAGTATGGCAGTGACGTCACAGCGAGCAAATTCATTGCTTTTACTCTTTCGCATTCCAATGTTAGCAGCAAGAGAGCAAGCGAAAGGCAGAACAAGTAAAGTGACGAATTTCGAAATCGAAATAGCAACAAGACACACTCAATTGAGCTTTTCTATGCGTATGCAGAACAATTAATGTTGTGAGCTACGAATTTCGAAATCGTAAGAAGAGCAACACAAGGAAGAGACGCGCTCAATTTGAGTTGTGCTCATTATTTGAGTTGCTCTACGCTCTTCGCTGCGCCTGCGTATGCAGAACATTCTTCATGTCTTCCTTTTTAACTACTTTTCTATGCATTGTGAGTGTCAACTATTTTCGAAATCGAATGCACATTTAGACTAACTCAATTTGGGTTGCGCTCATTAGTCGTTCGGTGGTTTTCGTTGCGGCTGCGTAGGCTGATCATATTTCTATTATGTGTTTCAATTAAATACTTTTGTATGTCTATTGAGCATGAAATAACTAAGCTTGTATTATTAAAACCTGCGTGATTGCCATTTTTATATAAATTGCATTGAATACAAATTGTCAACTATTGCAGAATCGAAAAGAATACTTCCTGTTTTTAAAAGCAAAACGTAAAAGACGTGATTTCGAAATAATTGTAATAGCATAAAAATATTATAATCAGCTGAAAGTGTATAATGTTACATGGCGTGTTGGAATGATGATTAGAGATAAATTCAAAAGAGATCTTGATGAAGCCATCAAATTGCGTCGCCGTTTACAAAGTGAGACATTTGATTGGCGCCATTTGCTTCCGCACAATTGATGAGCTGTTGCTGAAAAGAAAGAAGAAGAAAAACACTGTGCTGCAATAGCCAACAATTTCTTTTGTTTTCAATTGTTGCAATTGTACAGCCGCCGCCTGGGATCTTTCACAAAACTTACGCAGGTAAGGCTTAAAATGCTTGTCATACGCAACGCACACGCATTCCAGTCGGATTGGAATAAACTGGAATGATGCGACACAATGAGAGAGAGAGAGAGAGAGAGAGAGAGAGAGAGAGAAACGCAGCAAAAACACAACGCAGACAAACAGTTATTCAACGAGAGGAAGATGAGCGGCGTGTGCAGGTGTTTGTGTTTAGTTAACGGATAAAGAGTGGCTGGCACAAAGACTTATAAAATGCTTAGCAGCATGCATAATTTTTATCGCTCAGAGCCCATAAATCTTATGGCTTTTGCATTATCTTGCGACATTTGGGATGCGTCTGCAAGATTTTTAGTTTCATTTATGCCACACCAGCCGTTCCCCCCACCCTGCTGCTGTACCCCCAGTGGCTTTTTCTTTTTTCGCATAGTACTCGTAATTATGTTGTTGACGCTAATGATGCAGCTCATCATCGGCGCAGCCGTCGAAGCTGCCATTCGCGTTAGCTGATTATGCAACAGCCTCACACAAAGCAGCAACAACAACAGCAGCAACAGAAACAGCAGCAGCAGCTACTGCTGCAGCTTCTTCCACTTTTCCACTTTTCTTTTATATGGCTGCAAAGCCGAACAAAATTGTTGAGTGAGTCGGATTTCCAAAGGGCTTTACGGATTGGCGCTCTGTAATTTTTCTCCTGAACTGAGAACAGTCTTGAAAAGCGTATTGTTATTATTATGGGGGCCGTCCTAAGTATTTCGAGGAACTAAACTGCATTTTTTTAATTTTTACTATAAGTTAAAACTTCTGAAATATGAAATTATGAAGAATTTTATGCTTATATTTTCCTTAAAAATATGCAAGGAATTATAATTTCATAGGAATTTAAAATTATATTAAGGATTCTTAAAAATGAGATAGAGGACAGACAGTTAAAAAAAAAAAAAAAAAAAAAAAAAAAAATGACATTGAAATGAGTAACAATATATGTTCATCCCTAAATTCATTTAAAGTTGTTTACAAAATATTAATTTTATTATTCAACATTTGGTGTACAGTCGCAGATTTTTATGGGCAAAGCAGTATATTAAATCCGTAGCTGGATTTAGTTTTTCTCCTATTGTGGCGGGCAGCTCTTATTTAATATTGACGCAAGTCACATATACTACAATTACATTCCATATTATGGCATATTGCTAACCAGACAGCTAATACATTTATACAGGGTTCAGGACCTTGTGGCTTGGCGTTCAATGACTTGCGTAGCATCCGTTTCTGCTAAAGAGAAATATATACTTTTTTCACACAAACCATATCTTTTTGACGATTTTCTTTGGCTTTCGACATAAAAGTTTCCCTCACTTGTTTTTTGACAAATTGCGCAGCTGGTGAAAACATCAATCAATCAGTCATCAATCAAGTACCCATAAGCATTGGCACTGTAATCAGCCAGACAAACATCTCGGACTCTGCCTGAGCTCCCAGACTCAATGAGCTCTCTTAACCGCAAAGGGCTCCATAATAATTTGGCGTCATATTTCATGGGGCATGGGGCACGTTACAAACATGTTAATTTCACGGCTCACACATGCAAAGCGGCTTTCGTTTCTCCACTCCGACTGCCCCGCCCAGCCGAGTCTCATGAATGGGCGCTACGCATGCGCCTAGCACTTTATACCTGGGCCGAACAGGTGTAACCGTGCTGTCAGTTGCGGTGCTTGTCACATGCCAACACGAGACCCACATTAGCGCTGCAATGTGGTTTGTAGTGGTGCGGCTGTTGCTACTGGCCGAAGGTGTCAATTGTGCGACAATCGGAGAAGTGTTGGTGTCTCTTGAAATGAAGCGATTGATCGAAGCATCAATCAAGCCAGTGGCCATGTTCCAACAGCCATAAGACAATTAATCTTCATAATTTTTTTTTTTTTACTGTCTATTCGAGTGAAATTGGTTTTAATGATTGGCAGCTGGGATTTTCATGAGGTCGAATGATTTAGACATTTGCTTGGCTGCGTATAAAGGCTTTTTAATCTTAAGTATCTGCTTCTATATATTTTTTATTTAATTTCTAACTCGTATTATTTATTGTTCATTTGCAGTGTGCTGGAATGTTGATGGATCTTCGTGAGTAAAAGTAAGTTTTTGTTTACTTTTGATTACTTTTTAATTTCGTTTGTTAATATTTTCCAATTGTTAACAAAGCGCTTAATTAATGTATATAATGACCCCTGGAAGATAGCTAAATGCTGCGGGGTTATTAAGGGTATGTCAGGAGTGAATTAAATTATTTTATTGAATCAAATCTCTTTATTTTTGTTTTACGCCTTAATGGCTATACGATGGATAGGTTTGATTATATACTCTTACTCTATGTAGTTAGAAAGGCATCCAATATGTATCTAGTTTATTGTAAAATCTTTCAAAGTCTGTTCAATCGATTTCGATTTTCAAATCGTCACGAAGGTCAACAAATAAAGTTAGGTTAGGTCGCAAAGTGCCGCAATGAAAACACACAACTTTCCTAACCTCACTTTTCTTTTGCTAATGTGTGAAGACTGTGTGTGTGTGTGTGTGTGTGAGTCTATAACATTTACCTAATAACTAAAGTCGATAAATAACATAATATCTATTTGGACAACAAAGAAAGTAATGCCCAGCCCAAAGAGGTGTTTTTTTCTTTCTTTCTATTTCTTGTTTATTACGAAAGCGTTGCATATTAGAGCTGTCATATCAAATGAGCATTATGCTAATGAATGAAGATCGGCTATTTAGATTGGAACGTGCACATACATGTAGAAGAAACCGAGGCAGGAGAAGAAGTGAAAACGAGTTTGAGAGAAACAGTTTTTCTCAGCTCATATTTGGGGCGTGGAGGCATAATGTTATAACTGTCAGTTACACGACTCTTTAGCTTCGACTAATTTGTTAATAAGTCATAATTGATTTCACATCACACGTCGGCAATAAAAAACAATAAAACCAACAACAACAGCATCAAAATTATTTAGTTAGAGCCGAGCTAGATGAGCCTCGCAGTCTGAAATCTTAAGTCGGTCAAACGAAAGCGAAATCTCAAAATCGAAATTTCTTTTCGGATTCGGTTTTGGTTTCTGTTTCGCTTTTGTGGCTTTTGAGTGAAAGTGATTTGCGTACACTTGCTGAGCCATAAGACGCTCCATGTTCATGTCAGAATCGTAATGCGCTCCCAGAAATCTTTTAACTCTAAGATCTTTTAACTCTTGAAGCTCTCAGCTCTCAGCTGGAGTTGCAGAAGTCCAACACTGAGCGTTGTCTCATTTAATTAATTGCCTCGTGGCCATAAATTCTTCAAAGTAATCATTTAACGCTGCGCCGTTGCGCAATGGGCCATGAGTAGACGCTTTGGCTTCAAGCCACAAAAACTTCAGGTACGCCAATTTCAATTTCAATTTCAATTTCGGTTACAGGCCAAAGAGTCGTCAACTCCGTCCGTCGGCCAATGGCATCCAAAAACTGTGCGACTGGCCAAAGTTGGCCTCGTTAGTTGCTGTTGCGGCTGCCTTTCGTGTTTCCTGTACAGGCCCCGCTCCTAGCAATGCACTGCACTGTGCTGTATTTGATTTTTGTTTATTTCTTTGGCGCTTGACTCGTCTCAAGTGGTTTTTATATTTCTTCTCTTATTTTTCTTCTTTTTTCTGTATTTTTTGGGTCTCTTTTCTAGGACGCTTGCATTTTTGGTCACTCGTCGAGTTTTCAAGGTTCTTTCTGCTCAGTTAGCTGCGATGCTGCCTTCTAGACGTGTTTTGTGATCTGCAGATGCACACGTCAGTGCTAGAACAGATTTCTTATTTTGGTCATAATAAATGAGCTAGGCTAAGACCTTTTTCTTGTTTGTTTGTTTATTTGGCCTGCTAATTGGCTGCTCTGAATAAAGCTTGTTAACGGCGGGAATAAACGTCAGCGCAGATTAGAATCCGCTTCATAATAATAATTGAAGGTAACTGATTTATTGCTGCTGTCAATGGGGAACTGCTTAAACTCAATCACGTTTAGCAGCTGGAGCAATACATGAGGTAGTCCAGTTATGCTATGTATTTCCCTGGCTCATTCTCTTTGTATATACAACACATATAGCATATATAAAGCATTGTTCTTGTTTACATTTTATTCCCACGCATATTAATTATTAATTTTAGGGTTAATGTGATTCTGATTACATATTTCATACGCCTCTTCATTGCTTAGCATATTCGATTATGACATTCTTGTTGTGCTTCACTTGTGAATCTTTTCTTAATACATTATTCTCACGCTTGCACATTCTAGCAAAAGAGCTTCATTGGATTGATTTAAATACTGTCTTATACACCTTCTAAAAGCTAAAAGAGTATATTAGTTTTTTTAGCGTTCGTCTTGCTGCACATTTGTCTATCTATATGAACTTTACTTATTTCTAGAGACTTGGAGTATGAAATATATACTACCAAATGTTATATACTCTATATATTCTACTATAATATTTAATATACTATAATATTTCTATGCAGTTTAGCTTCATTCCTAATACATTCTATTGGCTGTGCCAATTTATTGAGTTTCCATTTCAAATGATTCCACTAAAGCTCTTCAGTCTCTGCAGTCATATTCGCATTCGCAGCTGTAATCTGTGCTGAAAAATCATTTTCTCAGTCCACTTCATGTTCGATAGATTGTGCAATAGCTCTAAATCTAAATTACAGTGACTCAACTGGTAAGTCGATGGCTTATCGCAGATCGTAAAGCGCAGACTTAACTGAGAGATCGTGCACACATCATTTTGATTGAATCTGCAATGAATATGCATTTAAATGGAGATCGACAAAGAACAACGACAGCAGACAGCCGACAGAAGACAGAAGACAGGCGACGGCAGACGGCAGTCGGCAGTCGGAGAGGAGATCTTTAGTCAATTGGCAAAGCGAACTGGTCGGACGCCTCTTTGGCCATTGCCACATGGCATCAAAAATGTGCATAATAAGCATTTGATGTTTGGTGTTGGCTGTTGACCAATCTTGAAGATTTGGCAATTGGCCTTTCACTTTTGTATCGACAAATGGCTGCAGTTAGCAAACCAAAGCAAAGCAAAGCAAACCCCAAACCCTGTGCGAAGCTAAAGGCATTTTAATTGCCTACAAAATGGTTTGCGCTCTACGCAAATAAGTAATTAATTCGTGGCCGAACAAAAAGAATGCACAATAACAGCAACAGTAACAACAACAACAACAACAACAATAGCGGCAGCAACTAAAAGAGAAATTTACATAAAATTGTGTAATTGACTGAAATATTTCTGGCTAAAAAAAAAAGAAGGTGGAAGAAGCAGCAGTTGCCTTTCAGCAACACCTACAATTGCGTCCAGTTAAGGCGAGAGGCGCAACGCCAGTCGGTCACATGAAAGCCACCCCAAAAACAACAGCAACAACAACAACAGCGATTTTAGCCGCTAGCCACAGAAACAATTGAAAGTACCACAATAACAATAACAATAACAACTACAGCTACAACAAAAGTTATTTAACCAAACGCTTTGAAAAAGAAACTTGGTCAAAAGTTGTGCTTGATATTATCATCCCGTTCATTCCATCCCAACCCGCCCCGTCTCTTCGCCGACTCCGTCCGGCAGTTCATCCGAGGCGATGCTAGAGTAGGAAAATGCTCGTAAAACTGTTTATAAATTAGCACAATTTGTCTTGTTCTTGCTTTTGTTGTTGTTGTTGTTGTTATTGCTGTGAATTGTGAATAGTAACAAGTGAAAAGTGAGGTAGCAGAAGCATTTTTTAGTTGGGTTTAGTTTTGAGCTATTCGCGTGGAATGAGCCTAAACAATGTCGTTAAGCAAATTGTGAATGAGTGTGAAAAACAAATATTTAACATTGTGAATGAAAAAAGTCAAAGTTGTCATAGAATGTGAATGAATTATGTAGTTAAAAACGGGAGAGATTTTTCGTTCATCTATGAAGGCTAATCAAAGGGCTTTTGTTTAGTTAGTTCAATTAGATAATTATTGTATTTATGGCGTTCTACATTATTGTTAATGTGAAAAAAGTGAATTTACCACCAAAAAGATGACAAAGCTGCTGAGCACTTGAAGACAATTTTGGAGCCCACTTACAAACACAAATGATATAAGTTGTAAATAGGGATCACTGCAGAGTAATGTAAATTAGGTGTGCTTATGTGTTTGAGTGTGCTCTGAGCATGAGACTTCTTTAAATATATATTAGACTTAAGAGAGCTTATTATAAGAGAGATTTTGAGCGGCTGAGCCGAACAAGAATGTAGTTAGTTTTTTTTATAAATTTTTGATAAGTGCCAAATGCAGTTCTTGGGCAATTCTTTAAGCGTATTAAGTGTCTGTGTTTCTACATGTATAATGTATTTATTTTTATTTTGTTTATATAACTTTTATAATTTATTATAATTTTTTATTTAATTTTTTATATAACTTTTAAAATTTACTATAATTTTATATTAAATTTTTTATATAACTTTTAAAATTTATTAGGAATTTCTGCTTTTAAGAATTAAAATAATATAGTATGAAAATTTATTTTTTTTAAATCTTATTTATAAAATAAACCACAAAATAGTAGACAAATTTATATATATTTTTAGTTGTTTTTTTATATCTAATAATTAATTTTGAATGCTTTTCTTAATGTCATCAATAAGAATATGACCTTAAAAATTTATTTTTAATAAATATATCAAAGTAAAGTCTTTAAATGGCAGTGCTCAGCTAGAGCACATAGAAGTTTTCCACTTTCAAGATTAATGCAAGATAACTCCTGCTTCCAAGGTGTAATTCTGGTCGTATAGCATTTTCAGCTGCTTTATCCATAGAAAAGTCTTTGAATGCTTTAAGTTGTTATTTGCTCAAAATATGCTCCTTTTTTTTCAAAAATTCTTTAAATATTTTAGTACTTTTCTCTTATAAAAATGAAAAATAAATCTTGGGTTCTCTCGTTGTAACACTCACATTTAAAAATGGATAAAAACCTAAAAAGTCCGCTTGGCGAGTTGATGCAAAACTTGATGCATCAACCTCAATCCACTGCCATATAAATTCCGTTATGCTTTTGGCAAATGGATGCTCAGCCAGCAGCAGCAGGGGGAG